CCCAACCACTTCTGTGTCCCGCTCCAGCATGAGCACAGTATCCTCTCCAGGCCTCCCTGGGGCTGTAGAGGAGGGGTTGGCAAGAGGAGGTGACCCATAGGGAGAGAGGGGGAGCGGGGAGCATAAGAATGGACTTTGCAGAGAAAAAGCTGTCAGAGAAGAAACAAGGCATCCCTGTGCTCACCTCTCCAGCTGGAAGTTGGCCACTCCTCGCTGGAAGAAGCCAACAGCCATGCAGGTGTCCTTGGTCACTGCTTGGTCAAATGCCTGGGGACAAAAATGCCCATGGATCGCCAAGGTCTGCAATTCTATCACCCCTGTGTCACAGACACAGTCCAGGCAGATGACCAGTGGCAGGGGGCCAAGGAATTCCATTGGACCCCAGCACAGCCACCGGCAGATAGAAGTTTCCCGCACCAGTCCAGGGGCCTCCAGAGCTCACGCCTGGGTACCTGCATCACCATTCAGTTTTCCTTGGTGCCACGACCAGAATCAGCCTGAGCTCCCGAAGTGCAAAGAGCACAGCGAGGTGTTGTCATAAACCAATCTGTCTGCCATGAGGACAGGGGAAACAACAGAAGGGAACACTCCAGCACGTTAATAATAGTTACCTCTGGGGCATGGAGTTATACGAGATTTTTGTCTTTTTAAAATCCTATTTCTGATAGTTCATACAAAATGACACTTCTTATCTATTAGAATCAGAAAGACGGGCGCCTGGGTGGCTCAGTCAGTTAAGCATCTGCCTTGAGCTCAGGTCATGATCCCGGCGTCCTGGGACCGAGTCCCGCATCGGGCTCCCTGCTCAGCGGGGAGTCTGCTTCTCCCTCTCCCTCTGTCTCATCCCCCCTGCTCGTGCTCTCTCTCTCTCTCTCAAATAAATAAATAAAATCTTTAAAAAAGTATTAGAAAGAACAAGAACACAAAAGTCTTAGTATGTGTGTAAGGTACAGCTCTTCCCTAAACTTCATTCAGACGAGGTCGACTATTCCTAATGAGGACAGTAACCATCAGTTAAACATGGGTAATAGGAGGGGCATCATGGTCTTACAAATCTGGCCAAATTGGGGGGCTTATTGCAGAACTGGGATCGACCTAAGGTTGAAGGTACACACGGAGGCATTGATGTGGGGGCCCTCAGTGCCAGAGAAATCCATTCGTCTGCTACCCGGCCACACAGAGCAGCCAAGTCAAGGTCACGTAGGGTTCCTATCAACAGACTGCTTTCCTACCTACGCCCCTCCTCACCCTGCCCTGCTCCTCAGAGACAGTTTCAATAATTGTAGCCATTCCATCTGCTTTAAAAAATCTCCATATTTCCAACTAATGTGCCCATGCCATTATTACTTAATTTTATTGACTTTGGACAGTCCCCCCTCTTCTCTTAGGGTAAAGAATTTAATACCATATTCTTCTGCTCACCACCTCTGTCCCTTCTCTAGTTAAATCACAGTTTATGAATAAGTGATAAATGGATTGGCCTTATATCTACTATTGACTGAGCTACCTAGTGTCTGGTGATTATATTCCCTTTCTTGGATAACACTTTAAAACTGAAATTGTTACTAAGAATTGTAGATTCATATGCAGATGCAAGAAATGACAGAGGAGATCCCTTGTACCCTTTGCCCACTCTCCCCCCCAAGTCCCGTGGTTTTACAAGTTTTACAAGATAACGACATTGATGCTCTCCTACATCTAATTCTCTTTTCACTTGTGTCATTTTCCAGGTAGCTGCCACTGATTGCCTCAAAAACTGCCGGATCCTGGTTCTTTCTGTTGGAGAGATTTGGGGACCGGAGAAATGAGTAGGGTGCTGCTGGATTTTGTATGCACCTGGGGAACATGCATCACTTTAAAGGACACAAAGTGTTTAAAGGGCAGAGAGTGGTCCTGTCAGCAGAGGGGCTGAGTGCGCTATAGCCGGTGTGCAGTCTTGAGCTCTTGGTTCTGTTTTGGGGAAAAGATGAGTACTTAGATCTGGGGTCTGGTGCCAACAAGACAGACCTCATCTCCTTCCCATCGCCACAGCTGGTTGGTGAAGTCCCCTCTCTGAACTCTACGCCTTGGGGGGCAGGCAAGCCCCTTGCAAGCAGGACCCAGCGCCCAGCCTATTTCTAGGTATTAGCACGATGAGCACTTGAGCCAGCAGCACCCCAGTCCTTCCCTGTGACCACAGAGTCTGGCACATGGTCATCACCTCGAGGAGAGGGCGAGGGAGGCCGCCCCCCCATCATGCGCGCTGAGTTCAGGGTGGCGTCCCCCGACCACACAGCTCCCACCTGCCTTCGGTGTTCACTGAGGCAGAACACTGGGGGGACATCTCCAGATGACCCTCAGGAAGAAGGACGGGGACCCCGGCTCACCCCTGCAGCTGGGTCTTTATCGCACGGTAAGATGCCCCAGGCTCAGAGAACAGCCTTCCCAAGGGGTGGGGTCTCTGCGACCAACCCTGGGCGCCGGGCTGTCGGGCCCCTGGCTCACCCGCAGCGCGGCCTCCGGGTCCCCGGCCAGCAGGTGCACGCAGCCCACGTTGAAGCACATCCTGGCGGGCGGCTCGGGGTCGCCCGAGAAGAGGCGGAGGGCGCAGCCCCAGTCCCCGCGCGCCACAGCCTGCACGCCCCGGTGCCAGTCGCGCACCAGGTCTCCCCGAGAGGGCATGGCGGCGTGCACACCCGCCAGACTGCGGCGCGAGTCTGGCTTCCGGGCCGGAGCGCGGCGGGCGAGGCCGGCGGCGGCGGGGGTCCCGTGAGGGATCCGGCGGGACGACTGGGGGCGAGGGCCGCGGAGCAGGAGCTTCAGCGTCCGGAGGCCGGCGTGGGGATGGGGGGCCCCCCTTAGAGGCCGGCACCGGGGTCCAGGCCGAAGGGGCGCTTGGCCCTCGGAGCGCGCGGAGTCCGCGAGCCGCAGGTGCGCCACGCCCCCTGCTGCCCACGGCGCCCCCTGGCGGCCGGGCGGCCCCGCCCCTCCCCGAGTCGGCCCCCGCTCCGTCCACACGGCCCCGCCCCCCACGGGGGCCGCCCCTCCACATCCGGCCCCGCCCCTCCCCGCGCTTCTGCCGCGCCCATCCCGACTTCCGCCGGGAGCTCCCGGAGCTCGCGTTTCCCGGCTCGCATCGCCCCGGGCCGTGTGGCTCTCGGTGCTGCGGGGAAAGCCGTCCGGGCCCGCCGCTGCGGCGGCCGGGCCAGGGTTCCGGGCGGGCCCCGCTGGCCCAGGTGAGCGACCGCCGGGGCGCGGGCCGAGGTGGGGCGGGCTTGGGGCCCCCCCCGGGGACACCAGGGGGTAGGGCGGAGCCGGGCAGGGCAGTGGCGAGCTGGCGGCCTGGCCGGCCCCGAGGGCCCCCGCCGGCGCCCCGGCCCCGCCAGCCCGGCTCTGCTGGGACCGCGGAGCGCGTCCTGGGGTCCGCACCCAGCGGCCGGCGGGCCCGCGCTCCACCTCCGCGGGGCTAGCAGAGGCCCAGCGGTGGGGGGGGGGGGTCCCGGGCCCCACCCGCGGGACGTGGGGAGGTGCTGGTGACACTCGTGGGGACCGTCCGTCTCGTGCCTGTCGGCCGTCCCGCTGTGGGCCGCCGGTGGGGGCTCGGCGCGCGGGACTAACCCGGCCCCCGGCCCCCGGCCCGCCCCTGGGGCAAGCAGGCCCCGCCCTGTGCCCTGCACACCTCGGCGACCCCGAGGACCTCCTCCGCCGAGAAAGCAGAAGCCCCTGGAGCCCCGGGTGGCGTCTGCCCACCCCCCCCCCGGTGCCCGGAGCCCCTCCGGGAAGTGCGGAGTCGCTGCGGGGGCCCCTGCCCCCTCAGCCCTCGTCCCTGCTGACACCCCGTGTGTGTCTTACCTGCTGTCACGCCCTTAGCACTCGGGCCAGTCAAGGTTCTCCGGAGAAACAGCGCCAACGGGTGCACAGAGAGGGGGAGACTGGTTGTGAGCAGTCGTGGGGGCGGGCAAATCCGGAATCTGCGGGGTGGTCCGACGGGACGAGCCCCGGGGAGGAGCTCCCGCGGCCGCTTGCGTCTGGGGGCACATTCCCCTGCCCTTGGACTGGCAGGCCTTCCACGCCCCCTCACCACCCACACCTCCAGTCCCCTTCCCGTGTTAGGAAGGGTCATCCGCTTCAGACGAGCCTACTGCTGCCAGTGTCGATGTCATAAAAAGTACGTCCCCGGCGCCTGGGTGGCTCAGTTGGTCAAGCCTCCAACTCTTGGTTTCCGCTCAGGTGGTGATCAGGGTCGCGGGATGGAGCCCCACCTTGGGGTCCGTGCTGGGCAGGAGTCCCCCTTCCTCTCCCTCTGCCCCTCTGTTCCTCCCTTCCCCCCATAAATAAATAAATAATACTTTCCCAGCAACCTGTGACTATTTGACCAACTATGTGGGCACCATAAAATGAACCATCACAGCACGCAGCCCCGGAAATGCTCCTGCAGACAGGCTCTGCTCCTCTATTTACAGAGAGAACACCCAGGGGAGGCTTGTTCCTCGACGGCTCTCAGAGCCCGAGCTCAGCTGTGACTCGCGACTTGGCTTGCCTTCCATGTCGGCCATCCTCCTTCCCCGGTTGGGCCTGTGGGCCCTGGGACCTGGGAGCCACCCTGCTCACTTAGGGCCTCTGTCTCCTCCCTGTGTGACCTGGGCCAGCTCTCTGACCCTGCAGGCTTCCTTACCTGAGGAACAGGAGTGCTGAGTCCTGGCCTGGTGGACCTGGGAGGACCCACGCCTGTGGCACGCCTGGGAGGGCACCGGCAGCTTCCTCAGTAAATGTCCGTGAGCCTCTGCCCCTGAGGACCTGCTTCCTCACCGGTGGGGTCTGGGTTTCCTGGTCTACTGGCCTGGAGGTGGGTGGGTAGCCACGGCGGGACCCTGTCCTTCCTGAATCCGCCATGCGGACAGCCCTCCCACTCCCCGTCCTGCCTGCAGCGTTTGCTCGGAGTCATTCCTGCAGCTCTGCTCTGCCCTTCACAGCCCCTGGGGCCACCGCCTCAGTGCCTCTCCCACCAGCCCACCTAGGTCCCACCTCGGGCTCCTCAGTGTCGACAGCTGCAGCCCCCCACACCCTACCCATCCTTGAAGCTCAAACCTTCGACCTGACACCCCTCACCACTCACACCTCCAGTCCCGTTCCCTTCACCTGGGCTGGAGGAGCCCGGCCGAGGTGCCCAGTCTTTCCATCCTGAACACAAGCCTCAGGTGGGTCCACTCCCTCACTCCTCCTCTGTCCTCAGCCCCACTCTGCCCTGTCCTGCCTCCCAGTCCAGGACCTGGCTACCTGCTTCCAGATCAAATGGAAGCAGCTGGAAGGGACCCCCCCCAGCGTCTGCACCCACAGATCTGCCTCCTCCCTGAGACCGCCCCTGCTCCCACAGACGGGACCTTGCCTGTCCCCTCTCCCACCCCATCCTCATTTCCCCTCGCTAGGGTCAGCCCATCAACATACTGTGATTCTTCCCATCTTAACCCCTCCCCAAGGTCACATCCCCCATTTCTTTACTCCCCTTTGCAGCAAAACTCCCTCAAAGAATTCTCAGTGTGTCCAGTACTTTTGCTGTGTACTTTTTAGAAATTGAGATGTAATTCATGTAGCGGCGAATTCACTTTTAAAGTGTGCCGATCACTGTTTTTGTCCTCTTCACAGTATTATACAGCCAACCCCGATAACTCTAGGGTGCTTATGGCCGTTGCTGCCGTGCCCCATCACCCCGTCCCAGCCCCTGCCAACCACTGATCCCCGTCTCTACAGATTTGCCTCTTCTGGACGTTGCATATAAATGGAACCACACAGCCTGTGCACTTTGTGTCTGGCTTCTCTCACTCAGCGTCATTTTTTTGAGGTACATTCATGTTGTAGCCTATATCAGAGTTTTGCTCCTTTTTGAGACTAACATTCCGTTGTCTGGATGGACCCTGTTTTGTTCATCCATTCCTCCACTCATGGGCACTTGGGCAGTTCCCACTTTCTGGCTATCACGAAAAATGCTTCCGTGAACATTTGTTACAAGTTCTGTGTGGACGTGTTTTCGGTTCTCTTGCATACACACCTAGGAGTGGAGTCGCTGGCTCATGGGGTCACTCCATTGAACTTTGTTCCAGGTGGCTGTCCTGTTTCACATTTCCGTCATGCTTCTCCTGAACCGGCTCTAGGCGGCCTTCCAGCCATCACTTTACCCAAAGGCTTGTCGGGGTCACCAGCAACCTCCTCCTGAGCCATGGGGGCCCTGGGCATGGCCTGTCCTCCCCACTTAGCGCCTGACCTCCAGGTCATGGCCTCCCCCGGGTCCCCTCTGCCTGCCCTGGGCTCCTGTTGTTTATTACCACTGGGGCGTCTGCAGCATCTGCTCTCGTACCAACTTTTTTATTTCCATAATAAAAAGATGAAAGCAGCCCCGTCCCGGTCACTGTATACTCTGTGTGCTGCAGCTCTCTTATTCATAACCCTAAACTAGACACCCCCAGACGTCCTGCAGTATCGGAATGGGTAAGCAGGCTGCGCCCGCCCGTGCAAGACACTCCGCGGAACAAGGGATGCAGCAGCTTGTGGGCCTCATGGAGCATGCCGAGCGAGAAAAGGTCGCACACTTTGATCCATCTATCTGAAAATTATATAAATGGAGAGCAGATTAGCGGTTGTTTGGGGCCACTAACAGATTATGCTCAAAAGGACAACACCGAAGGGTCCTGTGGGGCAGACTGTCCGGTGTCTTGACTGAATCCGTGTCAGGCCCCGGTTGTGATGTTGACTACGGTAACGTCTGGAGGACTGGATGCAGCATATATGGCGTAGCTGTTTTCTCTTAGAAGTGCATGTGTATCTCCAATTATCTCAAATGTTTAAAACAATTTTTAAAGAAGGTTTCAATTACAGGTTTTTCTTTCTTTCTTTCTTTCTTTATTTATTCATGAAAGACAGAGAGAGAGAGAGAGAGGCAGAGGGAGAAGCAGGCTCCCAAGGAGCAGGGAGCCTGATGCGGGACTCGATCCCAGGACTCTGGGATCATGACCTGAGCCGAAGGCAGACGCTTAACCATCTGAGCCACCCAGGCGCCCTCAATTACAGGTTTTTCTGTTGTACAGATATCCTGAAGGTTGAAATGATTAATGAGCCTAAGATTCGTCCAGCTCTGAAATTCAACTGCTTAAATGTTAACGTAGAAGACTTCCTTCTGTCTGAGCTAAAATCTATTCCCAAGCAGGTGTTGAGGCATCTGGAGTGGCCGATCTAAAGCCGGCCTTCGCAGACGGGTGACCTGCTGTCCTGAGGGAGGCCTCCCAGGCTCCTGCCGCGGTCACCTCCTCCACGTCGGTATTCCGGGGAGGCCCGCGAAGACGGTGTGGATCACACCGTTCCTACATCGGTGGAAGAGTCCAGAAAAGGGAACCATTTCCGAAGGTAAGAACATGCCTCAGATAGCGGTCAGCGTAGTGCTGGAACTTATTTTTAAAGGGATGCAATAATCGTGGTTAGTTCTGGAGCACAGGTGTCAAAGAAATGGGCAGGAATTGGGTTTAGCCCAATACAAAAAGTTGGGTTTTTTCCCCCTTTCTAAACAACGGGAACTTTCCAAGAAAAAATAAAATAAAAATAAGATTTTTCTCTCAGGAAATAAAAATAGCCTTGGTGTGATCAAAATGCTTGGTGTTGGAGACCAGCTTCCTGAGACCTGGCCCCAACCGGGGCTGCGTCTAATTCAGGGTCACGGAGCCCCTCCGTGGAGGGTTCACTGAGGAGGCGCCCACCGTCAGCCATGTCTCTGAAACCCACCACTTCAGCCTTTCATAGGCTCCTGACCGTTGACATGGGCACTGAGGACCTCACCTTCTGCCACCCCAGGAAATCTTGAAGAGGAAAACCAGAAGGACATGGAAGGCAGCCATGCAGACAGGAAGCGGCTCAGGATTCATCTCCTTTAAGGTTCAGAGTTGAGACTGTAAAACTGGGAAAATTTTAGCGCACTCCTGCAGGACTTCATGGTGGTCAAGGGCTTCATCCTCCGGGCAAATGGGAGTCCTGATCCATGGGCACTGGAGCGGCACCACCCAGTCGGCCTTCGCAGACCTAAGCCAGCCCCTCTTACTTGGCCTTGCAGTTTCAAACGGAGGAACGTGTTGCCACTGCTCTCTGAGCTCATTTCTACATGCGGTCCCTTCCGAGCAGGTGTCTGTCTGGGCCAGGATTGGAAATTCAGATACAGGACAGTCCCACAGCTGTCTGGCCCTGCACCGTGGCCGCTCCGAGCGCTCTCTGCAGCGTGTGCTGCTGTCTGCAGGGGAAAGTGGGAAGGGGGGCCAAGCTTAGTACCTTAGAGCAGACCCACAGCATCATGTTACGTCCGATGAATCCAATGAAACAGCCAGTGCAAAAGGGAAGAGTGTACGTTGCTGAAATGAATGAATGAGCAAGTGGGTGACACCTTGAAACATGCAGGGGTGAGTCCTGGATGCTAAGGGGATTCTGGAGAGAAATAACAGGTCATTTACTCTATTGCCAGACCAGCACAACAGCTCTGGAGGTCAGAAGGAAGCAGAATATCTACAAGGAGCACACAAATCCAAGGAAGCCCAGATTTAGCCAAAAAGGAAGGAAATCGTGCCCAAGAAAGTAAAAAACAAATGGAAGAAACCGAAAGGAGGAAGAGGAAGTTAATAAAGAGAAAAGCTTAATGAATTAGGTAATTAAATCAGGAAGTATAAAATTAGTAAGACCAAAAACTAGTTCTTAAAAAGATCAGTGAAATAAACTTCTGACAAGACTAAGGAAAAACGAGAGAGAAGTAAACAACGTTCAGTGTTAAAGAGCAGAGAACCACACATTTGCCACGTCCACACCGATACTGTGGTCATAAATGGGAAAACCTCCTCAAGAAATCGGATGACTTCCTGGCAATCCAATCTATCTGAACAGACCTGAGAAGAAACAGGGAACTGGAGCAGGCGGTGAGCATCAGAGACCCAACAGGCTGTAGGGTTCCAGCCATGCAGTGGGTGGGCTGCTCCCAGCCCTGCTTGGGCCCACGGCCCGGCCAGCGCTCCGGCTCCAACACGGGCCCCCAGCCGCAGCAGAACCTTGAGACAATGCAGCCCCTGCCTCGTTCTGGCTGCGACCCCCAGAGACCCTGGGCAGGACCGCACGGTCAAGCCGCTTCCAGTTCCTGACCCCTGACCCTGCACAGGACAATAAAAGATTGTTCTGCTCTAGGCCACTGAGTTTGGGGCCACATTCGTTTGGCAGCAGTACGTAACTGATGAGAGGTCAATGCGGTCAGGCTTGATCGCGAGGGCAGAGCTGGAGCCGTGGGGAGCTCTGGGGAGGCCGCTGTACAGCAGAGTACCTGGTGTCCAGTGGGAAGGGGTCGCTTCCCATGTGGGGCTCATGGAGCAGGTGGCCCCATCTCCTTTCCGAAGCTGAGGTTTCCTCATAGCTTATTTTAACATTTTTTAAAAAGATTTTTAAAATTTCTTTATTTGAGAGAGAAAGGACCTGAGCACAAGTGGGAGGGACAGAGGGAGAGAGAATCTCACGTCGACTGTGTGCTCAGTGCAGAGCCCGACGTGGGGCTTGATCCCACCACCCGGAGATCATGACCTGAGCTGAAACCACAAGTCCCACGCTTAACTGACTGCGCCACCCAGGCGCCCCAATTTTAACTTTTAAAATATCATTTGTGATTTTCTTTTCTTCGTGAATTCTAAGTGGAGTGTGTTCCTTGTATAATATTTAGCAAATACAAAAAAATAAAATGGGAAGTAGAAGTGGTGGTCTGCACCCCCTGCCGCCCCCCCGGTGCCTGTGTGTCCTCTGTGTCCCGCCCAGTGCTGGCGGGGCTGGGGGTGCCCTGTGGCCCACACAGTAGCAGGACTGCTTTCGTTAAACGCAACTTTATGCCACATTGTGAGGTCCTTTTTCTCTGGGACATTATGTTGTTTTTAAGTAGCCATGCGTCATTCACATGATTTCTACCCCATTTCTGGATAGTGGGAGGCCCTCACAAGAGCGGGCAGGGAGCTGGAAAGCCCAGCTGAACGGTGGGGCCAGTGACTTCTGCCCTCTGCCCCCTCCCCTGCCGCAGCCCGGACCCTGTGGGAAAGGATCCTGGAGGCAGGACTCAGGAGGGGCTGTCCTGCCTGAGCTGTGATGCAGGGCCGAAGCCGACTAGCTTAACCAGAGTGACCCTTGACAGTGTGCACACAGTGGCGAGTGTGCAGAAAACCACCACTTCCAGCCCGGAAACCCCCGCAGCTGCTCCAGAGAGGCCCACCCCCCCACGCGGTATCTCTGGAAAGTTACTTTCTTGTGTTTTAGATTGGTGATCTTAATTTTTAAAGAAAGGAACAAATCTTAAGTTAAATGAGTAAGTTAAAAATCACTCCCACTGGGCCGGATAGAGTAACAGGGACAGCCACCAACAGGTCAGTGTTGGCAAGGGTGTGCGGAAATCGGGACCTTCGTGCGCTGTGGCGGGATGCAGTGTGGCGGCTCCCCGGCTCGGCTTGGCCCAGCTCAGCCCATTCCCCGGAGAAAAGGCGGCGTGTATCCACAGAAACACCTGTGTGCACCTGTCCACAGCGGCCACAAGGTGGAAATAACCCAGATGGGTGTGGCCCATTTGTACCACGGAACATTGTTCAGCCACGGAAAGAATAGGTGCTAGCAGGTGCTACAACGTGGACGGAGTGTGAAAACAACATGCTGGGTAAGAGAAGCCGATGCAGACCACATATTGTAGGATTCCACGTGCGTGAATGTCTACCACAGGCGAGCCCCAAGGGACAAAGTGGGTTTGTGGTTGCCAAAGGGGGTGGGGAGCAACAGCTAACGGGTACGAGTCATCTTGGGGTGATGGACGTGTACTGGAATTAGGCAGTGGTGATGTTTTCTCATACCTAAATATACTAAAACACTGAGTTGTGCACTTTAAAAGGGTAGATTTTATGGTGTGTGTATTATATCAATAAAGCTTTAAAAAAAATCACTGAGATGTGTGCCCAGACATTTAATTCAGTTTGAAAACCAGTTGAAACAGCTTTCAAATTAATCTTCTTGTTGAACCAAAGAGACACGAGCAGCCCCTGTTTTCAGGGGTCCAGGCTGCATGCTCCCCATGTGTCTGGGGTGGTGACCCTAGCCCCACCTACATTTGGAATTTGGGGACAGCAGAGGGAGCCCCCAGTTGGGTGTTGGGTCCGGGCGCGGTGTCTCTGCTGGGGGTGCAGCCAGGCGCCTCCGGGGCTGCCCTTTGGTCTGGCCAGCTGCTTTCTCAGTTGACACCAATGTGCACAGCAGAAATATGTGAACCACACATGTGATTTTAAATTTTCTAAACACTGAAAATATAAAAGGAGAAGGTGAGGTGCTCCTGGCTGGCTCTGTTGGTGGAGCTTGTGTCTCTCGATCTCAGGGTCATGAGGTCAAGCCCCGGGTGGGCATAGAGCTTACTTGTAAAAAAAAATAAAAAAAAAAAAAGAATTTTAATAATATATTCCAACTCCAGTATTCCCTGAACATCACCATTTCCACCTGTAATTGATATAAAAAATCAATCCTGAGACATTTTATGCTATTATCCCAGGTGTATTTTGCACTTAAACCAGGACATGGCTGACTGTGGGATGGCGGGGGGCCGGGCAGTGCAGGCCCAGGAGGGAATGGGGCCGCCCCATGGGGGCGCCAGCTTCTGCAGTCTGAGGCTGGCGCTGACCCCTTGCCCTCCAACCTGCTGCGCCGTGTTCCTCCTGCACGTCCTGTCGGTCACATGGGGTGGCTGCCATCCACAGCGCCCAGGAGGGCTGGGTGCTGCGTGTGGCGGCCCGGGGAGGAGCCACACACTCAGAAGGGCTCTGGCACACGGTGAGGCGGCAGTCCACTGTCACCCCCTCCTGGGCCTCGGCTGCCCTGTGATGAAGGGCACAGGAACCACCTGCAGGGGGGGTCACAGCTGGCGCCTCCACGTGTGCAGAAAACAACATAGGACAGTGGCGCCCAAACGAGAATGCTCTGACAACCTACTTAAAGGTCACCTCAGTTAACCACAGTGCGGAGGAAACTCCACTGTGTGCTGCGGCCTGTTCTCCTGGGATGGATGGACAGACAGGCGGAAGGCTGACCCTGGCCCCACATGGCTGCATTGGACCCTCAGCCAGCAATGTAGCTTCTTTTGGGGACCTTTAATCTCTGCCCTTTTCCTTTAATTTCCACCTTTCTGGGTTATTTGAAGGGCAGCTTTAGGTCAGGAGACACCCTGAAGTGTCCGCTCCATGCTGCCCCTTCCAGGCCAGGAGGCTGGTCCTCTGGGCTTCCTCCCACGGGCGAAGCCTGCAGTGGGGAGAGCCCGGGCCTGAAGGATGTGCCTCCCCACCCATCTCAGAGGAAGCCGGGCCCCGCGCTGCTTCCCCTCAGGGGACAGCCAGGTCACTGCCAGGGCTGGGCAGGTGTCGTGAGCCCTCGCTCTGTGGTTCTCATGCCTTCACGTACCCCCACAGGGCCCCAGCCTGGGTGGTGCTGATGCCAGGGGACTCTGTCTGACCCTCTTTCCCCTCAGCCAGGCCTGGTTGAGGGGCTGGGTTTCAGGAGGCCTTGGATCCGGCTCGGTCAGGGCGCAGAGCGGGAGGCCTGGTGGGCACGGGGCTGGCACATCTGGGGGCCCTGGAGCATCCCAAACCTACAGCAAATGCGTGAAAATAAAGCAGCCAGTTATTTTACCAGCAAAATGGGTTTACTGGGGAATGGCACAGGAATTGGGATTCAGGACAAGCAAGCCATGTTGAAAGCACAGGCAAGTCTGGGGAACACAGAGCATGTTGCCAGGGACTGCTTCAAATGGAAGTTCTGCAGAGGAAGGTGAGGGCGCAGGGTGCTGTGGGTGGACCTGCCTGAGATGCCGTTCGGGCATCGGCTGCACACACTGTGAAGTGTCAAGGGCTCCAGAAGCATTCAACAATGGTGTTGACACCTTGGAGCATGCAGGCCAGGACCTCGGCCTTGCTGCGGCTTGCAGGCAGCTATAAGTTGACCCTACAAGGAACTGGGGTCTGGGTGAGGCATGTCTGTTGGGGTGAGGGAATGACCGGAGGAAGGAACGGGCGGGGCTCCTGGTGGCTCCTCAGAGAGGGGCCCGTGGGACCTGGAGTGTGCCCAGCATCCCCTGTTGGGGACCCTCTGGTGGGCCCAAGAGTCATCCTCCGACCTGGAGCCAAAGGGGCCTCAGAGGTCTCCTTGGCACGGCCCACCGGGGGGCCTGTGGCACTGGGCCTCCCCCTCGGTGCCCAGTTCTGTGAGGACCCCCAGGGAAGGGCCAGCAGTAAACAAACAGGTGGATTGAGACTGACTCGGTGGGCGTCAGGGGAGGGCAACCATGAGGGATGTGAGTGGCACCCCTGCTACGTGCAGGACCAGGGGCCCGAGACCCCCAAAGAGGGTGTGCTGTGGGGACCAGTCTCTGTCTCCTCGGCTTAGAGACCCCCGCTGCTTGGAGTGGCACTCCCTCGGGCCCCCCAGGGGCCAGCTTGCTTCCGGTGGGAGGGGCCGCGGGGAGGAGGCGTCTGGGCAGCGGGTTGGCGTGGGGGCGGGTGGGGCCAAGAGGGGGCCACGGTCGGGGAGGGACACGTCCCGGGGTGGGCCAGGCGCCCCGGGGATGCTTTGGTCGCGCCAGCTGGAGCACCCTGGTTCTCGGCTGTGGCCACGTTTGGTATTTATCAGGGACTTGGGCTACTTTAATGTGATGTAAGAAAACACTCGTGATTTCAGAACAAGATCCCAGAGGAGACCCGCGATGAAGAGAAATTATAATTTTGCTGTGTTAAAGCGGGAGCTGTGCCTAAAGCATCTCCTTTCTGCCAAGTAGCCTTCCGTGGCTTGAGTTAGCAGACAGGAGTCTGTTGTCAGGAGCGCACTGGACTCGGAGCATTGACCTGCCCAAGGGCGCCTGTCCCTCCGGCGGGCACTGGGAGGGGAGAGGCGCTCCACAAAGTCCCAGGGCTGACCCTGACCAGGTGTCTCTGCAGAGAGACAGACACCCGGAGGGACAGGGTGTCTTTCTTTTGCATCAGTTTTTCCAAATTTGCAAATGTATTTCATTTTCCAAATATTCTACTATAGGTATAATTGCCTTTGTAAATAGTAAAAAGTCAATTAAAAGCAAATAAAAGTGAACAGTGGTGTAAGGGAAGAGCTGGGAGAAAACTGGGGTTTGGTCCCCGCTAAGCCCATTTTCCCATCTGTGAAGGCACCCTGACCCTTCCCCATGGAACCAGAGCACCAGGTGGGTGTCCAGCCCCCCTGTCATGGTTGAATTGTGTCTCCCTAAAAATTCACATGTTGAATTTTGGGTGAAAAGCCCCCAGCACCTCAGAATGTATTTGGAGATGGGGCCTTTCCAGAGGTAATTAAGATAAAATGAGGTCATTAGGCTGGTGTCCCTTCTGAGAAGAGGAGAGTGGGACCCAGGCACAGAAGACAGCCGTCTGCACACGAAGGAGAGAGGCCTCAGCAAGAACCGACCCTGCCAACACCTTGATATTTGACTTCCAGTCTCCGGAACTGTGAGACATTGAACTTCTGTTGTTTAAGCCTCCTTCTGTGGTGCTTTGCTTTGGCCACCGTAGGAAACTCCTACCTCACCTCCAGGGGCCCCATCTCTGGACGGGGTGGGGCCGTACGTGCACTGTGGGGACCACCCCGTCCCACAGTCCCATGTCTTCCTTTCTTTCCTGCTGAGAAGTGCAGGCTGGGCGTCCATTCATCTGAGCTGCAGTGGGTGGAGGTGTGCACACCTCCGGGGCGAGTGGGGAGTGATTTCCAAGAAGAGAACAGTGCAGGCCGACATCACTTATGGACGTAGGTGCAGCAGTCCTTAAGAGATGAGTAATTATGGTGAGCAGAGTGTGTGCTCTGCATGAGGTGAGCTTATTGCGAGGATGTGCAGCATGAGCCCAGAGCCGCCGAGGCCTCACTTGAGGCCCATTAAAATGACAGCAGATGCATTTTAAAAAGACAGTTTTGGGCGCCTGGGTGGCTCAGATGGTTAAGCGTCTGCCTTCGGCTCAGGTCATGATCCCAGGGTCCTGGGATCGAGTCCCTCATCAGGCTCCCTACTAGGTGGGCAGCCTGCTTCTCCCTCTGCCTCTGCCTCTCTCTCTCTCTCTCTGACTCTCATGAATAAATAAATAAAACATTTAAAAAAAAGACAGTTTTGCCTTTTTAATAAAGGCAAAGAGAAGGGAAGAGGTGAAAAGCCCCATGGAGATGAAGGACCGCTGCTGCGTGTCTCTGTTTAACCGCCTGAGAAAGCGAGAGCCCGAGGCAGAGGGCTGGCCCCCAGCCTGGCCACAGCACCCCGGGAGGCTCCAGACTGGAAACAGGGTCTTGGGATGTTTTCAAGGGCAGGGGCCAGACTCCGACCCTCCAGGGACCTAGGCTGTGGCAGCCCAGTGCCCACCTGCAGGTGAGGATGGGGGCATTTCTTCCTGACAGACGGGCCGAGAGGAGAGGCCTTCCGGGCCCTGGGTACCCACAGTGAGGCCCACGGTTCCCAGGACTGCCCCCTGCTCGGTTCCCAAGCAGCCATTCAGTGCCTCACTCTTAAATATGAGCAGCAGTCCCCAGACACTTGAGCAAAGCTTCTGAGAGGAAAGGCACTGGGTGAGCAGGAAAGAGCGTTGATGCGGAGGGAAACAAAGGCTGAGTCATGGGGTCCTCTGGGTGACAGGAGAAAGAACTCTTGATTAATAAAATTTTGATAGCAGAAATGAATAATTCAAGATCATTCTGCAAAATAAAGTTCAGGAAATCTCCCCTGAAGGCGGAGAAGGGGAAAGATCAGAAAATTTGAGGTTCTTCCAGGGAGCCCAAAATCAGAGTACTTACGCCATGGGGCCCCTGGGTGGCTCAGTCGTTAAGCGTCTGCCTCCGGCTCAGGTCATGATCTCAGGGTCCTGGGATCCAGCCCCGCGTCGGGCTCCCTGCTCTGCGGGAAGCCTGCTTCTCCCTCTCCCACTCCCCCTGCTTGTGTTCCCTCTCTCGCTGTGTCTCTGTCAAATAAATAAATAAAATCTTAAAAAAAAAAAGCGTACTTACACCACAGGGTGGAGAACAGGGAGGCCAGGACATTATCAAGGAAAAATAAAAGACATGTCCCAGAACGGAAGAACATGAGAGCACCTGGTGGACCCCACCCCATCCATCCTCCTGATACGCTGGATGCTGTTAAGGGAAGGCCCTTCAGAAGGAAAAGACAAGCATCCTACATGATGTTGGGAGTCAGGTGGCTTCAGACCTCTGGGCACCAACACGAGGGGGTTAGAAGACAATGGAGGACCATCAACATCACGTATCTGGGGGATGACTTCTCACCTACGGCCCACGCACAGCCAAACTGCCAGCCAAGAGCTAGTGCCCAGTGAAGACACTTCCAGACAACCAAAGGCTTATTAAATGTTCTTCCTTTGCAGTTCTTCTCAGGACGATTCTGGAGAATGTGCTCCTCTGGAAACAGGAGGAAAACAGAAAGGTGAGGACTTGGAAGTCAAGGAGTGCAGGGTGCACCAAGAGAAGAGAGAACAGGAGTCCCAGGGTGAGAGCTGTACCACCGGGCTGGAGAGCGGCTGTCCAGACTGACACAGGGGGACAGAGACTTTAAAAACAGGTGATCGACTTCCAGGCTTGTTGGAACACACGGAGGAAGGTACTGCAGCGCTGTCAGAGTCCCGTCGGTGATGGCGGTAAATAACAACCAGCAGGCAAGAAGTGATGTACTTTGTTCTGTAATCTACTCCCCTCCCCCATCGCGTAGATAGGATCATTTCTACTGATCTGTCTTCAAATTCACTGATTCATCTGCCATCTCCAATGCACTGTCAAGCCCAACCAGTGAATTTTTCATTTCAGTTATTATACTTTTTATTGGAGAAATACCATTTAGTTCTTTTATGGAGTTTCAAATAATTTCCATTTTCCCTTGTCTGTTTACTCATTAAGACAATGTTTTCCTTTAATTTTTTGGACATGTTTTCCATCCGGTCTTCACACTTTTTTGTTTTTAAAGATCTTATTTATTTCTTTGACAGAGAGAGAGCGAGAGCACACAAGCAGGGGGAGTGACAGCAGAGAGAGAGGGAGAAGCAGGCTTCCCACTGAGCAGGGAGCCGGACGTGGGGCTCCATCCCAGGACCCTGGGATCATGACCTGAGCCGAAAGCAGACGCTCAACGACTGAGCCACCCAGGCGTCCCTTCACACACACTTATAATGGCTGTGTTTATCTTTGATAAATCCAAAATCTGAGCCACTTGGAGTTGGTTTCTATTATCTGGTTTTTGGTTTTTTTTTTTAATTTTTTCTCCTTGATTATGGAGTCATTTTTTCCTATTTCTTGGTAGATCTTGTGATTTTTATATTAGGTACTGAACATTGTGAATGATACATTGTAGCAGCTCCAGATTCTGGATTCTGTTATCTTCCTATGAAGAATGTTGATTTTTGTTCTAGTAGGCAGTTAATTTCTAGCTGATTACCTTGAACAGGTGAGCATGGCTTGACATTTTGTTAGGGTGGTCTTTGTCTTGGTGGGACTCAACCTACAACTCAACCTACAATCGACCGATGTTGATTTTATTGGGGCTTGGTTTTAGACGTTGGCAGGGCAAGAGCGGGGCTCACTCTAGGCATCGTCCTAAGCCTTTCTGGAGTCTCGGCTGGTGTCAGCTGGGCTGGAGTCAGTATGTCCAGCACAGCCTGACTGCTAGTGTCTGTTACCGTCTCAGGCCCGAGGCACCTGTTTCTGGGAGCCTGGGGCTCCTGCACTGTGCTTGGGCACTTCTGGCTGCTCTGTCGCCCCTCTCGCAGTGCCCTGTCCCACAGATGTAGTGCTGTTTCCTGTACCTGGCAGAGCGCTGTGCTGTCTGGACTCCAGATCCGTGGTCTTGGGAGCCCGTCATCCTGGGGGCCCCCTTGGGCACTGTCCTGCTGTCAGCAGGCATGGTTGTGTGTTGCCTGTTGTCCACAAATACATTGTCCAGTTGATGCTGTTTGCAGCGAGAGGGCCTGCGCAGCACCGGTCCTCCCGCGGGGCCAGAGCAGAAGGCTGGCGCAAACCGAGCGCGAACGGAAAAATAACCGCAGTCCACACATGGCTCAGCTGTGTGTAGTGTTTACACAGTTGTGCTCATGTCTTCTATAAATAGTGAGCTAAAGGGAGACTCTCACAGAACTGTTTGAGGAGGTTGCGGGATGTGTGGGTGCCGCTGGGGTATGATAGTGAATTCTAGCTTGAAGTTGGTCAGTCACATGTAAGACTGGAAACTGAAGGAGGAACCACATCAACATATTATTTAGAAATATGAATGTAGCGCACCTGGGTGGCTCAGTCAGTGAAGCGTCTGCCTTCGGCCCAGGTCAGGATCCCGGGGTCCCAGGATCGAGTCCCACATGGGGCTCCCTGCTCCACGGGGAGTCTGCTTCTCCCTCTGCCCCTCCTCCAGCTTGTGCGCGCGCTCTCTCTCTCTCTCTCTCTCTCTGTCAAATAAATAAATAAGTAAGTAAATACAATCTAGAAAAAGAAAAAGAAATATGAATGTACATATCTAAGGGGACAGCTGAAAGAGTTCCTGAGAGTGGTTGCCTCTGAGGGGGAGTTTCAGGGAAGGAAGCCAAGAGGCTCTTCCCTTTTCTGTACCTGTGTGAGGTTTGGGGTACACGGGAGGCTCTGCATGTCTCACTGCGATGCAGAGGAAGGCTGCATATGGGAATAGTCTTTGCAAGGCCTCAAGTATGCAGAATAAAGGAGGAGAAACAGAATAGTCCCCATCAGTGTAGAGAAGTGTGTTGTAGACAATAAACATTCACAGGCACCCTGCTGACCACGGGGCATAACCGCTTGCTGCCAGACTGGATTATTTAGAGGTGGGCGTGCTTGTGTGGGTTAGCTCGTGGGTCCTCACTGCAAGCCCGCTCCTGAAGCCAGCTCTAAGCTTCCCCAACCGGCAGGGGCAGCCGAGGCCGCCTGGGTCCCTGCACCGGGACAGAGGTGGGCCCTTGGTGGGCTGCCGGTCAGCGTGGGGAGAATAGTCTGTCGCTCTCCACCAGGTCCTCACACCTCGAGCTGCCTGTTGCCTTCCCTGGCCTCACCTTGAGGATGGACCCCACTGTGGGCGACGCAGCTGGTGACCCCACTGCTGGGAGTGAGGGCCATTCTGCAGGTGAGTCCGCGCCCCCGATGGGCTGCCTCTGGCAGGGCCCGGTATGGGGGATGTGAGGAGTGTGGTGTGTGCTGGCTGTGTATACAGATTGTGTGTACGTGGGGCTGTCTGTGGATAGGCTGCACGTGTGTGCACAGGAGGCACCCCCGGTGGAAGGCATCCCAGTGCTCCAGCCTCGTGTGGGGCTGGGGCACGTGGGCCTGCTGCATGCAGGTAGCTGCCCGCACAGCCTTCCTGGCCTGAGAGCAGTGGGTCAGCGCTTCCGTGTGCCCTGGGAAGGGAGCCTCCAGCTCCCGAGGGGCAACTACACCACGTAGCTACGTCCCAAGGCGGGCTGCCTGCTGGCCACTGGCTCGATGGCTGCCGGAGGACTCTGTGGCTGGACCAACACCACAGGGGAGGTCCGAGCCCCACACAGAAGTGGGGGAAGCAGGCGTGTGTGGGGATGGGGGGAAGGACAGGTGTTTCTCTGAGTCTCTGGGCTTGACACAGGCATTTATTCATCTTGCCAAGAAGCAGCAAGGAGGGAAGTGGGGTGTGTCTGAAAAGCAGGGCTGGGCCAGACTGCAAACATGGGAGCCCAAAGCCCCCCGTGGCACTCCTGCCCTGTGCCCAGGCCCGGGGTCCTGACCAGAGATGAGGGGCCTGTTTGGGCGCAGAGACCCCCTCGGTGGGGAAGGGAGGCATTTTCGCTTTGGTGGCGGGGATGTGGTCAGCAAAGAGCTGTCTTCTCATTTAGACCCTAAGAACTGGTCCCCAAATCCCAGCCTCTTTGGTCCTGGATGGCTGTGGTCTCCACGCAACCCCCCAGGGGCCTCCTGGGTCATCACTTCGGGGTCAGCTCTGGCCATTGAGCCAACCAGCAACCAGTGACAGGAGTGGGGATCTAGGGTCTGGAGGGCAGGGACCCAGGTCCTGGGGGTGCAGCTGGTGCCCACAGGGCTCATAGGTGCACAGGGAATCTTCAGGCCCCTCCCTCTCTCAGGGCCTTACCCAGGCATCTGTCTGCCCATCCCCATGGGGCTGCCTGTTGGGTGGGGCTCACAATGATGTCACACCTGCCCATCAGAGCTGGGCCTCGGCCTGAGGGTATGCAGGGCCTCACCTATGGCCTGCTGGAGCTAGCAGAGGGGCAGGCCACCCTGAGAACAGACACAGCCCCCCGGATCAGACACAGCCCACCATCAGACGCAGCCCCCATCAGACACAGCTCCCCTGGATCAGACACAGGCCCCCGGATCAGACACAGCCCCCCCGGATCAGACACAGCCCCCCTATCAGAC